TGACTTTTCCGTGGTCTTTGAGTTACCATTCAGTCGACTGAATGGCAGATACATTTCAGTGGCCGTTCAGTTATCTTTCAGTTGTATCTTTTTATTGAATAATCGGCTTATTTTTTAACTTAGAAATTTTATTTCACTTTTTTTTTTTATTAAAATGGTATTAAATTAATCTATTTTCGAATAAAAAAAGATAATAAAAAGTTACTATTAAGAAATAAAAATCATTCCAACATTCGGGATCGAACCGTTGCCTCCCATTTTTTTCTCTTTTCGTTGCCTCCCATTTGATAGTCCGTGACCTTATCCATTACGACACGGCGTCTTGTTATTAAGTTGGTGATTTAAAATCAATAAATTTGTGGAAATCGAATTTGGACTCACAGTTTACCTGTTGTACCGAGGAGCTGGGCAATGTGTATATATCTTGTATACATTTTGTATATTCTATGTTAATTGCGAGGACTTTTGGGGCTGACTAATTAATTAAGATCTACTATCGGGTTGATTACAATTATCGGCGACGGGCACCTGTTTTTTTTCTCTCCAAAGAAATGATTCAAGATGGATCTTCATCTCGGAAAACGTTCTTTAAACGATATTTTTTAACATGCTAAATTATCGTGCTATTTTATAATTCAAGAAACAAAATTTACAATAAAGGTTCTTCCACAAGAGGCATAAATAATTAATTCTCTTTATTTAAAATAATTCTAAACGATATCGTTTAGAAGCTAAAATATTATGCGGTTTTAACAATTAAGAAACAAAATTTACAGTATTAAAGTTTCTTCCAGAAAAGGCATGAATAATTAATTCTGTCTTGTCTTTCATAACCAGATATTTCCATGAAAACTAACCGCATTATACCCTGTGCTAGGTGGATATAAATATAATAAAAACAACTATTTTAGAGTTGAAAAAAATACGAAAATTTTTTCTTGTATATTTTAAGAGCATTTTGACCGATATCCTCGTATTTTTTTTTCAGATTGACTGTCTATTTATCAATTTAACAACTTATCAAATTGAATAAGCTTGTGAAAATATTCATAACAGATTTAGAGATTTTACATAAAGAAAAAAAATAAGACAATTCTATTCCTGTTAATTAAATTCTGATACAAATATTATTTTTCATCATTTAAATAATTTTATTTTTCTGGATCAATTTTCATGAAACATAGAAATTCGAAAATCATTTTGAATTTTATGAGTTCACAGTTGAATTGTAATCTTTAATGCTTATAAAATTATATTTACACATAAAGTTATTGTTAATAATCACAATTTAACATTCTAGTAAACAATTTAAAGACAGTTGAACATCTAACCATTACCAGTTCTACTTATCTGAATTTTCTATTCAAGAAGAAAACATATTTAGAAATGTGAATAATTTTATTTAAAGAAATTTAAGGAATAACTACTGATAAACTAATGAAAAGCCAATGAAAAGGTAGTTGAATTACGACTGAAACGTCACTGAAAGACGACGGAAAGGTCACTGAAAAATGACTGAAATGTGTCCGCTGAATGGTGACTGAAAGGTACCTGAATTGTGGCTGAAAGGTAACTGAAAGATCACTGAAATGTACCTGCCATTCAGTGACTGAATGGCCACTGAAAAGACACTGAAAGCCGCCTTTTGGTTTAAACTGAAAGGTCTTGTTTGTTCCTGTGATAGTTTACCAACAAGAATGAATAGTAGTTTTTAGTGCAATGGATTAATTTGCGACACGTTGTGCTGGAGTTGTGGAGACATTCTAAATGACCATTGTTATTGATCGAAATAAAAATGTAATGCAGAGATGTTCTACTTTTTCATGAGTGATGCCTATACGGTTTAAGGGAAACCAATATACAATTAAAAAACTATTAGTGCAATTAGCCAAAGTTGTTGTCACTGATGTTAATATACAAAGATATAAAATATACAATGCAGTTAAGGTGCACAAAGGAAATATCGCTATTTTGTTTTCTTTTAATATGTGCAATGTCATAGTAACATTTCCCGTATGAATTAAGCCCCGCCCCCTTATGTTAAGTCACATTAAGTTTGCTATATAATGTAGAATACGTTTATTTCTGAAAAGCATACAAGCGTTATCATAACTAGAGAAGGTAAGTCATTTCGTTTTCTTTATATATTTTACACCCTCTGGGTATCAGTTTTAATGTTGTGTACCTTCATTTCACAAACATGTCATATTTTCTTACTTAAATATTCTTCCCATTACAAAATGAATATGGCGTTTGTTTCATTTTTTATATCTCAATGTTTAAATCCAACTAAACTCTTTTTTAATTCTTAAAACATCTGTACATCATCAGAGCAATCTACATGTGCTCCAATGTATTGTTTCGCCTTTTCCCTCTGTTTTAGGGGATTTATTTCCTATTTTTAATATCAGAAATTGAATAAATTGGATATGAAGACCTACGGTGTCAAATGTTTTCCTCAGTTTTCGAAAAGAGACAATATTTTGTACATTACAATACACTAGAGGCCAATACATTTACTCAATAAAAACAGGAAACACCGTATTAAACCACCGTCTTTCAGTATGAATGAACGAGGTCAAACTTGTTCTGTTGAGTGATTTTGTGTAAGTAGGTGAAAAAAGGTCACAAAAAAGGTATTAGCCTACAATACGTGATTTCATTATTTTTACTTTACAGCAACTGATTATCAAAGAATCTGTTCAATTAAAGCAAAATTGTTCAAACAATGCAAGGAAGTGTAATTGAGGGGAAAAAAAAAAAGAATTTTAACGAGTTTTCTATGAAAAAGTTGAAGACAACAAGCAGTGACCGACATCCAAAAATCCATTGACAACACAAATCTATGAAGAGGACATTCATAAGGGACCCCTGGGAATTCCAGAGTTGAGCTCAGATGTCTAGGAGGAGTAAACATCCCCTGTTGACCTGTCACAACCGCCGTGAGCCCTATGTATTGATGGGTAGACGGAACATTACGTAGTCGAAATCAGTATAAAAACAAAGGCATACCAATTGATCAAGTCAAACAAAATTCGACCCAATAGTTCTTTCCACACTTCCCCTGTGTCATTGGAAAACATGACTGATTATTTTAAGAGAGTTACATTGATTCTGATTTACCTTTCATTGATATTGAGGATCTTTTGATTATTTGCCTCTTTGAAAGAGCAGAGAAACTTGATAGAACACAGTAGTACAATTTCAATTCTACCGAAATTGTGAGAAAATTTTACAAGTTGACTAACATGGAAGAAAAGAACCTAGTGATTCTTTGATATTCCAAAAAGTCAGTTATAATCTCATGGACTAATGTACACGCAACGTGATGAATTTTGCACTGGCCCTATTATTTTTATCCATTCCCTCAATTACATGTAAAAAGCGATAACTCCATACACTGACGCTTCGCTTATTATAATTGTATACAATTCACAAATGTTTCCGTGTACTATTCGATATACACATCCTTTTTAAACTGACATTGCAAATCCATTTTACAGGGATTTCAACATCATCTTTTAAAGTCAGCATTGCATAAATTCTACAATTGTTTGAATGATCTTGTTAGCAAATATAACGTAACATTGGGTCGTATTTTGGCTTACCAGTTATGACGAATTGTTAGTTCGTAGTTTTCCAAATACTGAACTTGACTAATGAATATTCCGTATACCTGTTCAATATATATAGCTCAATGCGAATGTGACCGGTCGACAGGGGATGATCACTCTCTTGTGGAATTTCCATAGGTCGGTGTTTTATGCCCTGTTCAGATTAGTGTTGTTTTTTTCCGATATCGAGCACTGTTCGTTATCTTTACCTTTTTCATGACAGTTCTAAGCAGGTCATACAGTATTCAACATGATCTGCACATTTCATTTCGTCACTCGACATGCATGCTCATTGAGATATTTCAAAACTTTCGAGACTACTTTTCTTTTACATCATTTTCTCCCAATACAGTGATCAACTATAAAGTCTGTCCTCAAAAATCAAACAAATATTCAATCATCTTATATCCTTTTAAAATATTTATGTATCTGGTAAATCTGCTTGGATTTGCATTTATTGCCCTTTTACCTAGCTGTTGCAAATTACAAAAAGAATGTACAATAAATGCTCGAGGTTTATTCAGAAGAAAATTGGGTTAACATTCTGTATATTTAGCTTGGAAATTTTGAGATAAAGAATTTCTTAATGAAAAAATATGAAGCTCTCTCCTCTTTATGTACGAAAACCAACTTTCAACTTCAAAGAGACTTAAAAAATGTTGTTTTTTATCTATGCAGATTGTGATCCTAAAGATTAAGATTTTTGAAATAATGAATATGCTTGGATGCAGCATCCAGTACAAAATACGAAAGTGTTCTCATTGTCAGGGGGACACAGAATTCTACTGTAACACGTGTACACACTGTCTGTGTTTACAGTGTAAAGAAACACATGTTGTTGATCTTGATACCATATACCATGATGTTGTGATTTATCGTGAAAAATATTCAAACATCCTTATTCAGGAGTCCTGTTTGATACATCCAGACATGATGTTTGAAAAGTATTGTCATTCATGTGAACGTCCTATCTGCATCAAATGTACAGAGCACAGAAAACACAGAAGCCTGGACATCCTATCTGCATATAATATAAAACGTCAACAATGCAAAGAAATCATTCATAGCATCAGAAGTGAAATTCTCTATAACAGCTGTTATCTACTAGCACTGTTCAAAACTAATATTAAAAAATGTCACACAGAAATCTCAGAACACTATTCAAAAATGTCAACAAATGCTCAGACGCTAAAAGCTTTAATCGACACTATGATATGCGATGTTACAATCAGATATCACGGTTTAATTAATCAGCGATTAAAACGACAGATGAAGCAGATGAACAAACGAATAACCATCTTAGAAAAGTACGAACGCAGGCTTGATCACTCATTAAGCCGATCTGTAAAGTTCATCTTATTTATAAAGAAAACTTGTCTTCTCAAAATGAAGGAAAATACTGATCCTGTGCAACAGATAATACTCTCCTTGACGGTGAAAATAAACATGGAGGATGTGATTAAGTCACTGTGTGAAAGTCACGTCATAGAGATGGAAAAAAGAGAAGTAGGAAATGTATGTGGGCTAAAACTGATGCCTACACCTGTGCTACACAAATCATTCACAGTTCAAGGTGTGAGTGGTGTAGATCACATTTCCTTTTTTACACCAGACAGAGTCTGGATAAGCGATTCGGAAAACAATCTCATCTTGACAAACAAAGAAGGTGGCAGATTTCATCATCTAAGAGATGTTAGAAAGCATAATTACGGAGTGCACACAATGAATACTACCGGTGATCTTATTTATAGAGACAGGGAAGATAACATAATCAAATTATCTAAAGATAACAATACAAAGTCAACACTGATAGAGAAACCAGAACTATTCATACCAATCTGTGTTTACTGCTCCCGCTCCAATGCCGATATTTTAGTCGGGATGATTGAATCTGATACTTTGAGTGAAGGTAAGGTAAACCGATATAATAGCATAGGACAATACTTACAAACAATAAAACACGACAACATAGGTCAGAAACTGTATAGCTTTCCAAGATACATTACAGAAAACCACAATAGAGATGTTATCGTATCTGACACAAGGCTTGGTGTAGTGGTGACGGATCATACAGGAAGACATCGATTCACCTACAAAGGACCTCTACCAGCAAAAGAACTGCAACCACGTGGAATCTGTACAGATGCATTGTCATATATTCTGGTGTGTGATGATAAAACTAACACAATACATAAGCTTAACAAGGACGGTCAATTGATGTCATTGATTCCGGCACATCGACAAGGGATACGTAGACCACGGGGCCTGGGATATGATTACAAGGCTCATCTTCTCTGGGTTGGATCATCGGACAACAACGAAGTGTGCATGTACAGATACATAAAAAGAGAAAACGATCCAGGTAATTGTTTTTATTTTTGTTTGATTAACGTCCCTCCGAGAATTTTTCACTCACACTGAGGCGCCACCACTTGTCGGTGAAGTGCTTCAATTTTAGACCTATACTCGGCAGTCAGGGCCAATGAGCAGTGAGGGAATTTTATCGTGTCAGCGCCTGCTGCGACACGGAACCTCAGTTTGTACAGTCTCATTTAAGGGACAGGTCTCCGCGTCTCGCAGTGGGATGCTTAATATTGGATAAAGAGGTCAACACATACATAGAAAAACAAATCTATTAGATTGTTATAATGTTATTTAAATATATGTCCACATAAATAGGGACAACGAAATATGCCAACAGTTCATGTAATTAGTATCGTATATATAATCGTGCATACAGACACTAACGAAAGTTATCTGATAGAAAATGTTTATTAGTTAATGAGACACATACTTGTACATACAAATTTACGAGGGTTGCCCCCCCCCCCCCCCAAAAAAAAAAAAAAAAAGTAGACTGAGCTTATACATTTAAAAGAAAAACACATATCTTTATAGAATTTTCTTAACTGGTAAAGTTCTCGGTTGTTAAATTACAAAGTTTTACATGATTATTAAAACGATTCGAGTTGTAGTGCTTCCATTCCTTTCCTCCCATAGCAATTTCCGACGACAAAATAAATAAATAAATAAATAAAAATAGAATAAAATAAAAAAAATAAAACAAATAAATAAATAAATAAAAAAATAAAATAAAATAAAAAATAAAACAAATACATAGAAAAATAAAATGAAACGATTTCGTTTGGGATTTTCATAACTATAAATGTAAAATATCTTAGTTGTAAAACATCATTTAACATTAGCATATAAAAAAGACCGTACGTCTCCACTAGCAATAATTTTGAAAAAAAAAAAATTACGTCAGTCTTTTGCCATGGAGTTGCGAGGTGTCACTTTGATCGCAATATGTTGCCAGATTATTAGAATAACTGTCATTTTAATATACAATGGTTGTACCATGCAGAAATTTATGACATCCATTTCTATAGGAGTAAATTCAAGTTCATTATTTAAATCACAGTCTAGTCGCTGCCTGTGTCAACGCAGCTATCATTTTTTTCAAAGTCTGATTTAAAAAGGGTGCATATAAAGCCTTATAAAATCCATATTAATTAAAGCATATACAAATTTTGAGGAAATGTAGTTAAGAATATAACATTATATTTGTATTGTATCTAATGGTATTGTAATAAAGTTTGTCTAAGCAACTAATCAATGTTTGTTCATAAATTTATGAAACATTGTTGCCAATGGTTGATCTTCAACTTTATAAAATGATGTTATTGTTTATGTTTGTACAGTATGTACATAAATGTTGAATTTTGTGATAATTAGAAATTTTCCATTTGGTATACTTTCCCCATAAATTTACATCTTTGTTAATGTATTTATAAAAGTAGCACTTATTATAAATATTAAACATAAAAAAAGATAAACTGAGAAATTTTAAAAGTTATTTTACTTTAATTTTGTTTCTGGATTAGCCAAACATTTTTCTCTGTTGAGATAGTGTGATGAAAGAAAGGGGAATACGTCTTCTGGTCAGAAACGTAACTTGTCAAGGTGATTATTTTGTGTGGCTTTTTAATTATATACGATACATGTATTATGCTAATGATTTAAATGAAAAAAATTACTTTGCACCAAAAATACGCCGAGTAGGGACTTACTTTAAACCCCAAAACATGTAACGGATTTCATGTCTAATTAAAGTCTGTAATTACTTTAGAATTGTTTCTCTAAACATGTATATATTTCTTTTGTCCTTTTTCATGATTGTATTTTTATTGTTCTAACAAAAAGTAAATTTTTCAAAAGAATACAAAACGTGTTCAAATTTCAAGATGGAGTTGTGGGAAGTATAATGCAGGGAAACACAGACCGATGTTTAATAATCAAAAAAAAAGTTTTCAGTTAACAACATTGCATTACATTAATCACGTTGATACATCTATTAATTTAAAAGAATTTACTTAATATTACTTCTTTGCGGAAATTTATTATTCTGATATTCCCAGAAAATACATCTGTTTATTTCTATATTTGTTTTTCAGGTGAAAAGGTATAAGGTGAAGTTCTCAGGGACACTGAAATGGTGGATCACAGTATCCCAGCATACATCGAGGACCACAATGTTAAATGTGAAGATGACGTCTCAGGGACATTGAAATGGTGGATCACAACATCCCAGCATACATCGAGGACCACAATGTTAAATGTGAAGATAACGTCTCAGGGACACTGAAATGGTGGATCACAACATCCCAGCATACATCGAGGACCACAATGTTAAATGTGAAGATAACGTCTCAGGGACATTGAAATAGTGGATCACAACATCCCAGCATACATCGAGGACCACAATGTTAAATGTGAAGATAACGTCTCAGGGACACTGAAATGGTGGATCACAACATCCCAGCATACATCGAGGACCACAGTGTTAAATGCGACAATAACGAACATTAATTTTAACCTTTTCATGTGTTCTGATATGAACACATTGAATAAGAAAAGGAAGGAAGGCAAAAAATAAAAAAAAAAATTAAAAGTATTTCATTTATTTATGCATAAAATCTGATTGTTTACTTTAGACTAATTTCACTATTTTTTTCCAATTCATGCTAGCAAATAGATGCCATATTTTCCTATTGGACTGTCACAACCTTCCTCTCTCTCACTGATTTTGGCCTTATTAGATAAGATACACACACTCTCTCTCTCTCTCTCTCTCTCTCTCTCTCTCTCTCTCTCAATGATTTAACTGAATTACATGTAGATAAGATACACTAGGAGATCTAGATTAGTACTGCGAAAATGTGACGTAATTTACAACTTCTACATTTACAATAAAGTAAACATGACGATAGCATCATGCTTTGTGAAATCTTGTTCATTATCTACAGCACAAGTATATATTAAAAGTTCTAGTGCATATATACATTTTTTTTAATTTAGAAATGATTTAAATTTTAAAAGACATGGAATATCGAAATAAAAGTATACTGCTTATCGGTAACAGGAATATTGTTTGTAAAACTTATTTAACGAGGTCGAGTCTAATTATTTCTACCCTAGATATTTTGATAAGTATTCTTGAATGTATTTTACTACTATATTAATTATATATATTAAGATTAAATAATCGAAGGTTTACTATTATGATTTCTTTGGGGATATCTCAAAAGTTGTCAAATTTTACTATTGGACTCTATGGGAATTTGCTAGAAAAGCATCACATGTTCTCCATGTCTTGTATTTCTGCCCTAGCAATTTCTTTTTCAGAGGAATGCATAAAAGTTATTGTAACAAGAGGCCCATGGGCCATATCGCTCACCTGAGCACATTGACTAGGAAAAAGCACAAATCACTTCAGTATTGAAAGTTTAAAGGGGGGGGGGGGGCTTGGATTTTGAACTACCCGAGGATGCTTCCATATCAATATAACAAATGGCTTTGCTGTTCTTGAGCAGGAGATTTTTGAAGATGTTTTTCCTATATATTCCCTTGTTAAAAATTTGATCCCCCATTGTGGACCCTCCCTACCCCCCCCCCCCACCCACCCCATCATTTGAACAAACTTGAATCTGCACTACCTGAGGATGCTTCAATATCAATATGACTAAACATGGCTTTTCTGTTGTTGAAAAGATTTTTCCTATATATTTCTATGTAAAAATTTGATCGCCCATTGTGGCCCCACCCTAACCCTGAGGGTCTTGATTCGAACAAAGTTAAATCTACACTATCTGAGAATGCTTCCATATCAATATGACTCATGCCTTTGCTGTTCTTGAGAAGAAGATTTTCAAGATTTTTTTCTATATATTTCTAAGTAAAACTTTGATCCCCCATTGTGGCCCCACCCTACCTCCCGGGGATCATGATTTGCACAAACTTTAATCTACACAACATGATTCCATATAAATATGACTAATTGTGGCTTTGTTGTTCTTGAGAAGATTTTTAAAGATCTTTTTTCTATATATTTCTATGTAAAACTTTGATCCCAATTGTTGCCCCACCCTACCCCCGGGGGTTTGATTTTAACAAACTTGAATTTACACTACCTGAGGATGATTCCATATCAATATGACTAATCGTGGCTTAGTTCTTGAGAAGAAGATTTTTAAAGATTTGTTTCTATATATTCCTATGTAAAATTTTGATACCCCATTGTGGCCCCATCCTACCCCCGGGGGTCATGATTTGAACAAACTTGAATCTACACTATGTCATGAAGGTCTCACATACGTTTCAACTTTTACAGCCCAGTGGTTCTTGAGGAGAAGATTTTTAAAAGATATCGCCAAATTTTCACTAATTCTTAATCTCCCCTTGAAAGAGGGCGTGGCCCTTTATTTGAACAAACTTGAATCCCCTTTACCCAAGGATGCTTTGTGGCAAGTTAGGTTGAAATTGGCCCAGTGGTTCTGGAGAAGAAGCCGAAAATATGAAAAGTTTACAGACGGTCGGACAGACAGACGGACGATGGACAAAATGTGATCAGAAAAACTCACTTGAGCCTTCGGCTCAGCTAAAAAAGTCACCTAATCGTAAAATTTCAAAAATGGTCTACCGTCTAGGTTCGTCGTCTAGGAATTATATTACAAAGTTTTTGTTTTTTTTTTCAATGCCCAATACCTCTAAATTTGCCATATTTAGGAAATAAAGTCAGCGTTTTCGCGTTAACTTCCGAGGTCGAGACATGTTGTTTGAAACATAAAAGCCGAGGCGTTAGCAAGAACTCCAGATCTTCCAACCCTGGTGCTAGAACTTCACAATGTTGGTAGAGGGCTTGATGCCTATCACAATCATGGCGACAGTTTGACTGCTTGAGGCTCAGGAGTAAAGAGAATATTTTAAGATAGCATTAATTTTTTTTGGTTTTAGCACACCTCTCAGGTCCCAGATTGGAAGGGATCATGAAATTTCCAATTTTTCTTCCCCTTTACTTTTAGAGAAAGCATGGTTTGATGTTCTGAAGTTTTGAAAATACTCATCATGTGTTACTTAGCTGCTTTTTTTCATTTGAAAGAAAGTCAGTATTAAAGAGGCTTTAGGATGTACAAAACACCCACCTCAAAAAAAAAAAAAAAAAAAAAAAAAAAAAAAAAAAAATCAAATTCTGTCGTTTAATTTTCGTTATATTTGCATATTTTATACAAGACGACATTAACTATATGTATGCACAGTTTGGACAAAATCGTTCGATTCGTAGTTGGACAGGATGTTCCAAAACTTATCCCCCCTCCTTTGGCTGTTCACGAGGAGAAGATATTTTCAATCAACTAAATATACAATCCTTGATTTTCGAAAAAGTCAGGATAACCTGGTTGTCAAAATTTCACTGTCTCATTCTTTTGACCATTAAATACAAAAATGAAGTAAATTGGATAAGTACATATCGATAAATCCTTTTTTTAGGAACTTAAACTGCGGTTCAAACTGTGAAAAACTATCATCCATCTTAGCCTTGAAAAATGCGTTATTTTCAATTTAAATATTTTTTTATGAAGAAAACCTATCGTTTAATTTTGGAAAAAATAATTTCTGCTGGTTGCAAAAGTAATTTTAATAATTTTTTGAATTTTTTTTAAACCACCCATTTTGAATGAAATATATGGAGATAATGAACAGTATTCAAGCTCAAAAGTCCATTATACAATACAAAATAGGAGCAGAGCTAACACGGACCTCCAAACATCAGAGGTGGGATCAGGTGCCATGGAGGAGTGAGCATCCCCTGCCGACCCGTCACACCCGCCGTGTGCAATTTATACCTGAACTCCCTTTTTTCTCTGTAAATTACCTTTCTCAAGCGTATTTCAGACTTGGGTCGAAAACAGTGCTATGAATATACAAATACTCATTAAAATTTCAAGGTGGAAAATATCTTTTTTTAAAGATGTGAAATTATTTTCTATCATTGTTTTCAAATATTAAGCGCAATTAAGAGTAGATTTGTTGATAATTTTTGATTACAAACATCACCCCCTCCCCTTATTTTTCTTTTCTGCGATGCAAAAAATTGGTTACATTGCAGATTTGTTTAGTTCATTGAGTACCTGAAGTACTAATTTGCTGTATGCATATCAAATACTGACTACTAGTATATGTTTTGTATTTAGTAAAACTTACTTTCTAATGATTTTATGTCCACGTTTCAGTATGTAGTCCATACATATGCATTCAATTTCAAAACCTGGAAATGAATTCAGCTTACTGCGAATTTTGATTTTATTTATTGAATGTAGTTTTATCTTTTATTAAAAGTAAACCCACAATGTTGTATGTTCAACTCTCCTGTGATTTAAATATATTGATTAGTTTCTTAAATATTTAAAACAAGGAAGTCCTTAGAAAAGGTGTAGGGGTTTCCTACCGGCTGAAGTTATATGACTGCCGTCATGAGAAAAGGGCCCTTAAGGTCAAAATTTCACAAATTGACTTTTTGATAAATTTTGATAGCCTGACTCTTTCTGAATATAAATATACATCAATTTTTAAAATATTTCACGTTTTTAGTATTTTATGAGCATTTTAGTGAGGCCGTTTCAAAACAACGTTGACGTTATTTACTGAATACGTAATGACATCGCATGCGTCAAACATTCTTCAAAACTACATTTTTTTAAATAACCTTTATCGTTTTGACACATATAAACTTGAGAATTTATTTTTTTCCAAGCAACTAGTATGTGATTATTCATGAAGGAAGTCGCATACTATTTTCATACTATATTAGAGCAGATTTAGTAGCCTTGTAAAGGGAGGAGTGGGGGTTTAGACAGGATCTAGGAACGGTTTTTATTCAGTCGAAAAATTAATTCTTGTTGAATTCCCAACAGTGTATTCTTTTTATAATTAATACTCTAGCTCATTTTATAAAAGATATAAAGTACTTGTAATATTAAAATATATATTAAAAATATCTATATAGATTTCCCAGAGGGGCACCTCTTTCAATTAAAGCGGGGCATCCCCTCGCAAAAGAGCACATCGATCCCGATATAAAAAAAAATATTTTCACAGAGGCACAAAATGATGTCAAGGATTGTTTTAGGA